AGGCTGCAGTATACTTTCCTAAGGCTTAGGGAATAGGCTGCAGTATACTTTCCTAAGGCTTAGGGAATAGGCTGCCGTATACATTCCTACCATCATCTCAGCAACCCTGTGGTCTCTGTGGTTTTCTATTAGTGTTTCGCCTTTGTAAGTTAGCAGCAAGCAAAAAGACATGCTGATATCACATATTTAACCCCAAACAAAAAATCTATGATGTGAGCTGGGGCCACCCTGATTTCCCACACCTTTCCTAAGTACCTAATCCCAAGTTTAGAGCTGAGATTCAGGACCCTGACGTTGAGGCTGTTACAGAAGGCCTTAGTCTGCAAACCCCTCAACCACTCCTCGGCTGAGACCGGAAAGCACATTAATACATTTTAGAAGTTTCACAAATGAGACAGCTGAGGTTCAGAGAGGTTAAGGGACTTGCAATGGAAGAGCCTGGACTTTATCCTGGGTTTGTTCTGACCCCAGAGACAATGCTTTAACCACTACGCTTAGTTTATAGATGTGGTTTATATAGGACCAGCCTATTTTTCAAAGTGAAAAAATAATTCAGAGTGCTTAGAGCAGTGATTTTCAACCAGTGTGCTGTGAGAGGATCTTAGGAGTGCCGAGAAATTTTTTAAACCTCGTTAATTAAATTATTTCTGAAAGAAGTTCATAGCACAGTAGGTATATTCTTTTTTCTATACTCTGTTTTTTGATCAACATAATTTAAGTGTGCCATGGAAGTTTAACTATACATGAGATAAAAAAGGTTGAAAAACACTGGCTTAGAGAGTCAGGAAGAGGCAGAAGGTCTTAATAAAATAATGCTTATAAGCACAGCTTATATGATTGCTACTCATCAAAACAAAGAAATGCTTGACCAACTTACAATAACTTTCAGGTTTCCCTTAACATCAAAAGATTTGATCACCCAGTTGACAGATTTTTTGCACTTCAAGATCAGGATGAGATTTTTGACCACCTCAGGATCCTCTTGAGAAGGTCTTATGTCAATTATTATATCCACCTGGAAAGCACTGTGAATGCAAAACAAAGGCCAAGTCAAGACCGAAATGCCAGAAAGTTGCAACTATCCCCCGCCTCCTCCAAGTCGTCATGTTTCCAATGTCTGGCCAGTTGATTAAAAAGCTGGAGTTGATCCCAGGCCAATGACATGTGCAAAACAGATTGGGACTGTTCACATAAACAGTTTTACATAACAATAGAAACACATGCCTGTGGGTAATTAGCCACTCAAGTTTTTCTCTTCTTTGGGGGGAATAAAAGGTGGCTATTTAATGCAACCACTGTTTCAGATGGATTTGAACAAACCAGAAGAGTTTACTTTTGAAGGAGTATTGTTGCTTTTTCAACCTCACCGCCTTCAGTGTATAACTTTGCAACTATCTGGCTATATGCTCAATTTCCTTCAAAACCAGAACTGGGGCTTGGTGCCTAAAGCTCAAGCGGCTAGGGCGCCAGCCACATACACCGGAGCCGGCGAGTTCGAATCCAGCTGGGGCCTGCCAAGCAACAATGACAAGTGCAACTGAAAAATAGCTGGGTGTTGTGGCGGGCGCCTGTAGTCCCAGCTACTTGGGAGGCTGAGGCAAGAGAATCACATAAGCCCATGAGTTTGAGGTTGCTGTGAGCTGTGACGCCACAGCACTCTACCCAGGGCGACAGCTTGAGACTCTGTCTCAAACAAACAAAACAAAACAGAAGTGGGTGGCAGTCTGGTGAATGGAGGGTGGCAGGGAGGAGGAAAGCAGGTGGTTAAAAAAAAAAAAAAGAAACTTCAGAATAAAATAAGAGGCAAAAGACTGAAGAATTTCTTGATTTATATAAGGTTTGCTTAAGCCATTAACAACTGCTACAGAAGCCTATCTGCATTTACTTTTCCAGCTTTCTGGATATACAGTTAAAATAAAGAAAACAGATGGTCAACCAAGTGATTACTGGAAAATTGGTGTATACAACCCAAACTTCGGAGAATTCAGAAGAAAAGAGAATTTTTGACTAAACAATAACATCTCTGTCGTTCTGAATTAGGGGGCAAGTCTTGACTTTCATCTCGGTTGTACACACTCGTAAAGCATAAAATACACGGCGGACGCCAAGCACGTCCGTCAAGATTGCTTCTACTCTCGTTCTCTTTTAATGTTACACAAAATTCTTTGTGTGGATAGGACAGAATATTCCCAGAACTGATCTGTAGTTTATTCATTTGTAAAATCAAAACTTGATTCGAATTTTTATTCTGAAAGACCCCTATAACACACATTTAAATTAAGTCACTAGTCGACCTGAAATGCAGGTTCAACTAGGAGGAAAACTTCCTTTGTCCTTCCTTCTTCTTTCTTTTTTAAATTCTCTAATTATTCTTGACAGGGAGAGTCAAATTTCTAGTCCACGGCTAGGAAGACGGCAGGGAGAACAAACCCACAAGGAAGAGGCAAGTTTACCTAACAGCTCTTTGGTGTGTCCCCATGAAGGACCTGTCCCCCAACACATACACGCATACACTGCTTAAAAATAAACAGTTCTGACTGCACAACTGCTCTAAGGGCACTATGAACAGAACTTCTTAAAAACAGAACGTTACTAAAATGATACTTATGTTAATAAGGCACATTTTGGAATTTTCTTATTAGGGACAACCTTGCTCAAAGGAAGATATTGATGGAGTGACTATGTCTTGTAATTAATACCCAGAAGTTCAGAATAGGTTTCAGGAACTCATCTGCAATATAGGGGATCCAGAAATAGATGCAGAATATACATAAAATGTATACCACCGGGGCCTTTAGGCCCTTCTTCAAGGCTTCTGTGAGCCCCCTGGACGCATTTACAATGACCTTCCCTCCCATACAGGGAGGGCTGCACCTGTCCCAATCTCAAGTTCAGGAAGATCTTCATCTCTGCTCAGGTCAGAAGACACCCTTACCTGTAGGGGTTAGAGTTGGGGGTGAGTAACTCGATGATGTGTACTTCCTTGTCCTGAGGCTGGCTGGACATCACACACCCTTCTGCTGCTTTGGGCTGCAGGTACTCAGCAAGGTAATTCAGCGAGAGAAAATTCTTCCCTATGTTGCACGTGGGAGGGAACACTTGATCTGAAAGGAGAGCAGCACAGGGCAGTCTCTCAGACCACTGAGCTGTGTGACAACCATACTCAAAGGAGAGAGGGTGCTGGTGAAACTGGGCAAGTGCAGCACACAGGGAACCATGAGCCGGCGGGAAGGCCTGGGTCTGCAACCCCCTCGGCATGGCCCTGAGATGTCCCCCCCCCATCATCCACAGTAATCTCTTACCTATTTCTTCCGACCCATCTTTCATTGTTCCTCCTCCTCCTTTGCTTATTCTTTAAAAACCAGCAGTCCTCAATCTTTGATCAGAATGTACCTGCTTGGACCCCACCTCAGAGAATCTGATTCAGAACATCCAGGTGGGGCTCAGACACCTTTCCTTTTGGAAAAGCTCCCTAGTTGATTCCAATGTAAACCAAGGCTAAGAACTTCAGCTCCTTCCTCAACCTTCCTCTTGTCTCACACTTTTCCTAGATGATCTCAGTCACTCCCACAGCTTCAACTTGTACTTAGATTGTGACCCCATTTCTGAGCTGTAGACACATCCCGTCATCTGTCTACCAAGCACCTCCCACCTAAAAATCCGATCGGTAGGCATGTCACAGTCAGCATACTCAATACTGAGTCTGTCATCTAGCCTGTCCCAAGTAGACTCCTCCTTAGATATTTGCTGTTTCAATTAATGGGAGAACCAGCTCATTAATTCTCTGGCCCACCATATAGAATTAGTCATTCCTTTATATTTTCTCCTCACAGCACTTTATACCTTGAAGATTAAACATAGGCGTTTGGGAGAAATAAGGACAGCAGACTCACTCTTCCTTACTATCTTGACCCAGATGACTAATGTTTCTCTCTCTCTTTTTTTTTCCAGACAGAGTCTCACTCTGTCCCCCTGGGTAGAGTACCGTGGCGTCATAGCTCACGGCGACCTCAAACTCTTGGGCTTTCACAATCCTCTTGCCTCAGCCTCCCGAGTAGCTGGGATTATAGGCGTGCACCACTATGCCCGGCTAGTGAGACAACTGACGTTTACACGGTCCGTTACAGTTCACAAGGTACCCTTGCAAACATTATCTCAGAGTGCTGGGGGTTGCTCACCACCTCTACCTGGGGAAGTGATGCAAGTACCCAGAGTCTGAAGACGACCCCCCAAGGGCACATGCCATTTCCACCACTCTGTGGCTGATGGGATTTCCATCCAGTGGTTTAAATGTTTAAACAGAACTTGAAAGAAACTGCTGGCAGTGTGACAGCTGGGACCAGTGTCAAGGAAGTTCTAGGTGTAGCAAGCTTTTTTCAGGAAGGGTAATTAATCAGAGGCCTGGCACTGTAATAAAACAGACTTCTGCCTTTTTCATTTTACCAAAAGGATGCCAGGGTTCAAATTTACATTAAGTCTCACCCAGGAGTAAGAAATCTTCAGCCCAGGAGGGCCCAAGTTTGGGCTGGTACTGCCTCCTCAGGCCCCAACTTGCACACACACTGGGCAAGGCAGCTCTGTACAGCACAGCACCCCCAGCTCCACCCCTAGAGCAGAGGGCACCAAGGCAGTTCACAAGGCCCCTGCTGGTAGGCTCACTTCCAGAGAGGGTGGGCCTCTGCAAGCTTCTGTAAAAGCCCCAAGAGAAAAGCCCAAAGCTCTACCAGCTCAGGCTGCAAGAGCCTCTCCTTCCACACCTGCTGAGGGCTTTGCCAGATGAGCAAATGAGCAGATGAGGTATGCACACCCCGCAGCTGTGGCCTGTGACGCCTCCCCCAGATCACAGGATGGAAAACGATACTGAAGTGGCAGGGCTGAAAGTTAATTAAGAAGATGTGTGCCTGGGCCAGGGACAGGCCAGCCTGCAACTTAAGAGACCAGGACCCTCCTGGGACTGTGGCCGGCATATCCAGTTCATCTACATGCCTGAAGTGTATCTGGGATGAACCAGGCATATAGTATAGGTTTCTAAAACTTAATAAACAATGATGTAAGATTTGAGACAAATAACAAAAGATTCACCCATCGTTAAGCCATGAGGAAAGGCTGTTTTTAAGGGCTCTAGTCTCAGATGCTATTGTCTCTAAGTTAAAGGAGCTGATCACTTTCTGCTGTGTGTGTGGTTCCCCTCCTCGTGACCGTCCTCATGCCTGGCACCAGCACTTACACCCACTGCCAAGTAGAGAGGAAACCACACAGGGGAATCCCTGGGTAGGAACCTGGCAACTTTGGGGGAGAGAAGTCACATGCTTATTTGTATTTCAGGAAAAAACTGACAAGTGACTTGGGACCGAACGATACACTCTGAAAGCAGGAATGAAACCTAAAGTAACCCAAATACCTTGTTTTCCTGCCAGGGAAATCAAGACTCTAGGGGTAAATCAGTGTGGCGTGAAGCCTCACAGTTAGTGAGGCCGTTGCAGTAATGACAAACTCCTCCTTTCTCCTCCAGGTACCCAGGCTGGAGCAGTTCTCCCATGTCAGCAGGCTTTGAAACTGCCTGGCGGGCTCAAATAAACCAACTGCTGGATCCCGCCCCTGGGATTTAGTTGGTCTGGGCTGGGCCTGAGAACAGGCATTTCTAACAAGGCCCCAGGTGATGCTGCGGGGGCAGGAGCCTCACTTTGAGAACCACTGGGATTAGAGCAAGAGGGGGCTTAGGGCCTGGAATCCCTGGGAACCAGGAGGAGAAGTGGTTGCTGAGGCTGGCTCAGTGTAGTCGGGCCTGTGGTGACAAATGACATCACCTTGTTGTTCAGTGACCCACTCAAGGAACTCACTTTCCCCAACTACCCTCTTCATGGTGTGGCCCCGTGCTTTCTACCCAATTGGTGGCTACAGTCAAGTTTCATGGTGTTATGAAGGAGTTAACCGATTTTTACTGGACTAGACACCAGGCCCTTTAAGTTCATGTCCAGTTAAGCAACACCCCTTGCTCTCAGGGCAGGTGACTGCTGCACACAGAAGCTTGTGCACTGTCACGAGAACAGAGTCCAACATTCTGAATGTTATTATAACAAATTTTCTTATTCTAACAAATTCCAAGGGGTAATCAACATTCTTTCATGCTACTAGAAATCTACCTCAGAAATGCAGCCCACTGGCCGGGCTTAGAATCTTTATTAAAAAAGACTTTTCATTTTGTCTCAGTAGGATTTGACCTCTGTAGTTAACCACATGGCTACCATGAGGGGGCTGTAACAAACTTAAAACTTTTTGAGCCTATATCTCATCTAAAACCCCTTCTCTCTACCCCAATTAGACAAGTCTTCTCATCCAGGCAGCCCACTTTCAATTTTAGGCTATGCTTATTTGGCTAAGATTTAAGGACAGCATCAAGCAAAAAGCATGAGACTCAAAAGTCAGGAAACCTGGGGTGAGTTCTGGCTGCACCACTTGCTAGCAATGCGGACTTGAGCAAGTTTATTCAGCCTTCAGCTAAGCCCTCTGTAAAATGGCAGAAATCACATCCTCCTCTTGGGATTACTGTGGGGTTAAGTGGGGTGAGTGTGAAGGCCCCTGCTATGGCTTCTGTACATAGCACATTTCCTGACATGAGTATCCACCTTTGCTACATCTGTCCCACACATGCTTTTATTTTTTAATTTTTTTAGAGATATACAGTCTTGCTCTGTCACCCAAGCTACAGTGCAGTGGTACAATCATAGCTCAGTGCACCTCAATTCCCTAAGTAGCTAGGACTGCAGGCACACACCACCATGCCCAGCTAATTTTTAAAAACTTATTGTAGTGATGAGATCTTGCTATGTTGCCCAGGCTGATCTCAAACTTATGGCCCCAGGTGATCCACCTCATTTTCCCAAAGTGCTGAGATTATAGGTGTGAGCCACCATGCCTGGCTCCTATCAAGAGTTGGGACCATGCATCCAATAAGCCATCCTTCCTTGCCATGCTGTCTGTGGAGGAGGTGATCATGGCTATAGACTCAAACAGAAAGCAGCTGGATGCAGAAACCTGAAACGTCACGCTCTCACAGTCACCTCACTAAAACAAGAACCCAATCACAAAGGGCTGTTATTTCCTAGTAACTTATGGGGGTGCCAAAAATGTTCAACTAAAAATAATGATGAAAACAGTTTTGTTTTTAAAATAGGCTTTCAAAATTGAGTTACTGGATATTTAAAACCCTCTTCAAGGCAAGGAAACTGAAATGCGCAATCCTTTATCAAGGCCATACAGTTCCTTTCTCCAATAATTTGTCCATCTAGAGGCATCAGTACTGAAAATACATTTAAGCTGGGTACAGTGGCACCTGCCCATAGTCTAATACTCAAAAGGCTGAGGTAGAAGGATGAACTGGGAGGATGACTTAAGGCCGGGAGTTCAAGGCTGCAGGGTGCCTGTGAATAGCCACTCCACTCCAGCCAAGGCAACAGAGCAAGACTCTATCTTTCTTTAAAAAATAAATAATATATATTTTTAAACATTTTTTCCTCTGCTATTATACAAAATGTAAATAACTGGGGTCTCAACCTCAGAAACTGATGGAGGCTTCAAACATTTGCAGAATAACAGTAAGGGGAAGAGCCACATGCTGGCCTATAATGCTGACTCCTCCTTCATTTCGCCAGTTGTCACCTCCTTCCCCACACTCTCACCTTCTCATCGCCACTGGCTTCTTACAACTTCTGTGTGTGGACGTTTTCTGAATCTCACACAACCACCTCCTTCTCTCTCCACCACACCACTCCCCACCACTTACTTGGTTATCACCAAGCCTGTTTCCTCAGAATGAAAAAAGGACAAAGGGGACCCAAGGGAGAGTGGCCCCAGGGATCCCGCAGGTCCCTGCCAGCTCGAGCATTCTGTAATTCTGTAATTCCTTGCCCTAACCATCTGGTCTCAGAAAAGAAAACAATTGATTATAGTTAATCCGTCATTAACTGAAGCCACATCAAATTTACCTTCCCCCACTTTAATATAAATGTTTCTTGCTATCTTGAGCTCCGTGAATGAAGTAACCGCTCCATACTCCTTTCGGGCCCAGTTTAGCAGATGTTCATTTCCATGGGGAAAGTTCCTTTCTTCTGTTTCTGCTGTCAGGGAGAAGTTTCCTGATGAAAACTGGACCACAGAACCCTCAGACACCTAGAGGAGACAGAATCGCACAGTTAACATGGTGCAGTCACCAGGAGCCGAATTACATAACTAGAGAAAAGACTTCTTGGACAACTAATGGGTATCTGTCAATCAACCTTCTTCACTGCTGATTCAAGAAATAATCCGAAGCCTAGCCCTCCCACATAGTGGCAAACTAGCAAATGTAAGACGTCCTTCTGAACTGTACATTGTCAGTAATCAGAAGAACCACCACTGCTATTGTCCAGATAACTCAATTGAAGGTAATCCAAGTAATGCATTTCAGGTCAAACAGGAAGCCTTGGAGAGTGTTCTCATGAGCTTATATTGGGCTTCAAGGCCAAGACAAGCGACCTCAAAGTCCTCCCAGTGACTGAACATGACTCCCAGGTCTTCCACATCTGCTGACACAATCACTGCAACTGGGACTCAGTGAGCCCTCTCTGTGTACGTTCTCCTGATCACTCTGATAAGAAGGGCCTAAGGTGGCCGGTCTCCTACCACATTACCCACTCCATGGCAGGGAGATCCATGTATATAAGTTTATTTTGTAAGCCACCCAAATTCCCATAGATAATGAAGTCAAGAAGCTGTTAAATAAATCTTAATAAAACTTTCAGAATGATTTATGCAAGTGCCACGCTTTTGCCGGATGTATTTAGACCATCACTGGCCTAGCTTATCATGGTCTCTGTATAAATAACACATACTAAGGAGAAAAATCATCTCGTTGCTGTTCTGTAATCAAATCTAGTAGCTGGTGAAAATATGCATGCCACCTTTACTGGCTAGCCTTCATAAGATAAGTGATTTTATCAACGTCAAGGTGAAACCTCAAAATGTGGGCCTTTAATTACGAAGTCATAGAACTATAAACATCTTCTATTAAATTTCACATTAACTATTTATTCTTCACAGACAGAAAGCAGTTTCCAAAAGAGTTCTAAATAGCCAGACTAAGAAGCAAGTCGAGGGCCAGGGTTTTTAGACAGTTCTACTGTTTACAGTCCCGTGTTCAACTTTAACACACATACACACTCGCACGCACGTGCTAGTATTTATTACCCAGCCATTGTGCTAAATATTCATATTTTATATTCAATTATACATACACATATTTTTTAAATGCTGACAAAGAATCACTTTACTTCATTGATTCCATAACCTTCTAACGTTGCCGTCCCATAGTGGTTGAAGACTAGGATCACCTAAAGAGCTTTTAAATGTCCTGATGCCCAGCCACACTCCAGACCAATTAGCATCTTTGGGGAAGGACCCAGGCCTTGGATTTTTTAAAAGCTCCCTGGGTGGTTCCAATAGCCACATTAGGAACTCCTGCCTTAATGGGCACTGAGAGATCCATGGGTTGGAGGCACTGTTATAGGACAGGCCCAGTGTGACACTTCATAGCCTCCACTACACCAGTGGTGCTTAACCAGGGTGATTTTGTCTCCGAGGTGACATTTATTAGTGTCTAGAAACATTCCTGATTATCACAACTGGGAAGGAGGTGCTACTAGCATCTGAGTAGAGGCCAGGAGGCTGCCAAACAGCCTACAATGCACCATAACAAAGAATTACTCAAAATGCCAGTAGTGCAGAGACTGACCCTGCTCTGCCCTTTAGACTGACTGAATGCTGCTACCGCTCAAACATCTACTGGGTCCCCGGTTCGAATCCCCCAGTGGATAGTCCTTTCTATGCTAGAAATTGGGTTGTTTAGTACTTAGTGAAGAATGAGAATGCCTCGCCTTTCTGGTTTGTGTTGGCTTGAGAAGCCCTGAGCTACTCATTAATAAACCACAGCCACTCCCAACAGTCCCCATCTACGATGCCTCAGGCACCATGAAGCGCTATCAAGTGTGGTGATTTCCCCATCCTAATGCCACTTGTAGGCAACATCAGTGTGGAACATTTAGCTTTGACCTTGTTTTGACATCACCTGCATACGGAAAAGCTCCTGAGCCATTTTCCTGCCAAATGATAACTGTGCCCACCTGTGAGTAACTCCACTGAGGCGCAGCCGCTCACAGCACCGAACTGCAAACAACGTTCTGACTTTAGCACTATAGGAAAAGTTTCTTTTTACTGCAAAGCACTTGTACTCACAAGACATTTTTATCACACCTGTCACCACACACCCACAAAGCACTATGGCCATCCACAGTAGTCTGGACAGCCAGCAGGTTTAGGCCAGAAGGTTTAAGAAGGCACCCTTGGGTATCTACTTCTCATTCACGTTACAGCTACAAACTACAATGGAGTTTTAAACATGTTATCCACTGGGCACCTTTTTTTCAGAGAGGAAAGTGAGATATATCGCACTGGTGCATTCCAGAGCCAAGGAAGTCAACAGTGTAAGTAAGAGAAGCAATCAGGAGCCACCTCCAAATATATCCCGAGGTAATTAAAAAGTGATGCCGTGATGCAGCTGATTCTTCCAGAAGGAATGACTCCTGCTGAGGCCTCCACGCACCCTTGTCTTCTGAGCCAGTAGCAATAAGGTTCAGACACTCAGGGCTGAGGAATTTGGAAGCGGAGTTAACTGCCACTCCTCAGGCACATTCCAGTAAGAAGAAAGCAAGGCTGCCAGGGGGCAGTGAGGTGTCCCTGACTGCAGATCAGTGGAAATTTCCTGCTTCAGCAAGTGGGTAGCCAGCACTCCTCTCCTGACAGTTAGCTTTCCCGGCTCTGACAAGCTAGAGCTGATGAAGGCCTCCCCCACCCTCAGGAGTTCTAGAGCGTATGGTTCCCATGTTACTTCCATCAGATCTTTAGGACCTGCGTGAGAGGCTGCTGTGATTGCCACAGGAGAGAGGAGAAATCTCACAGGGAGAATGGCCTACCCAAGGTCAGAGGATCAGCCCCAGGGCCAGACCACAACATGACACTTCTGACTCTGCTCACAGCTGGCCTCTGCTTTAGCCTTTCAGGAAAGAGGACCCCACTAGCTCCTAAGACAGGCGATTTCAGTTCCTTCTTTCTGTCTGTAAGACTCACCTTTTATTCCCTGGTCTGAACCATGCCTATTAGACCATGAAACAAGACTTTAAATCAGTGATTATAAACCAGTGTGCTGTGGCACACTGGGGTGCTGCGAGAGGATTTTAGGTATGCCCCCCCCCAATTTTTAAAGATTAGCTAAATTATTTTTGAAAGACATTCAAAGCATGGTAAGTATACTCTTTTTTAAACTCTCTTTTTTTTTTTGATCAACAAATTAAAATGTGCTAAAGTTTAACTATAGGTTCACATGGGCTGAGATAAGCAAGGTTGAAGAATACTACTTTACATGTTTGATGATGTCACCTGACCTCCATCACCTGTTCAATGCCTTCCCAGACACTGTGATTGTCAGAGTTTCACCAGAATTGTCTCTAAAACATGGTGCTGGGACAAGAGTCAAGGTCTCTGGGGACAGATAACTAACCAACTAAATTTTATACCCACACCTTCTGTTTTCATCTAAATCCCTGAGAAATTGAACAACACAAGGCTGAAGTCTGTGAGTCACTGATACGCTCCACGCTAGGCTGAGCACGTTAACAGTCTTCGCTGGGGTGGCAGGTTGTTCAACCAGCTACAAAGCGACCCCAGCAAACTGTTCTCATCCTAGTAAGGGCATCATGCTAGAACCAGCCAAGAGCCCAGCTGCAAGGAAGACATGATCTACATCAGGGGTCCTCAAACTTTTTAAACAGGGGGCCAGTTCACTGTCCCTCAGATGGTTGGAGGGCCAGACTGCTGGCCCCGGGACTAGTTGGCTGCTAAGCAGGACAGGCAATGAAGGCAAAAACACCCAGCGGGTGTCCTCGGCAGGCCGCATGTGGTCCGCAGGCCTTAGTTTGAGGATGCCTGATCTACATCATTCTTCTACTCACCAGTCAGCACTCCAGACCCTGCTTTAACCCCCATGATGGAGTATCCTCATAAGAGTCTGGTTTGTGTTAAAATGTATGCAAGAACATGGGATACTAAGAGAATCATATAAGAAATAGAAAATAATTTTCTAATAGGAGAAAGATTGCAATTATTGCAATGAAAACAACTACATGAATGTACAGGAAAAGATAACTTATTTTCTCTATACTCAGACCACTCTTAATAGTTCACTTCTGAGACAAGATGTGTGGTATTTTTCTTACATCAACCAATTCTCCAATTCACTGGATACCGACTAGTGTCATGGATTTCAATCCATTTTTGACACTATCTATCTGGACACAGTGTCAGATCCCATAGGTTAAGGGCTCAGTCCCACAAGCCTGCCCCTACTTCAGACACCAACAGAAAATCCAAGTGTTCCTGATGTCTGACTATAAATCAAAAAACCTGAGGTTCCAATAATGGCTTACAGAACTCAGGAAAACATTTGACTCATGTTGTTTTGTTTGTTTGTTTTTAGAGAGACGGTCTCACTCTGTTACCCAGGCTGGAGCAGAGTAGCATGCACCATCATAGCTCACTGCAGCCTTAATCCCCTGGGCTCAAGCGATTCTTCAGCCTCAGCCTCCCAAGTAGCTGGGACTATAGGTGCATGCCACCATTCCCAGCTAAGTTTAAATTTTTTTCTTTTAAGAGAGAGACAGGGGTATTGCTATGTTGCCCAGGCTGGTCTCAAAATTCTGGGCTCAAGTGATCCTCCTGCCTTTACCTCCCCAAACGCTGTAATTACAGGTGTGAACCAGTGCACCTGGCCTGTTTACCCATGTATTGTAAAGGATACAACAAGGGAACAGCAGCCAGATAAAAGAGATGCACAGGACACACTGTGGGAGGAGTGGCATGGTGCTCCCACGCCCTCTGCAGGGAGCTTACCCTCCCAGCACCTCCACCTGTCCACCAACCCAGGCGCTTCCCAAACTGCCCTATAGATCAGGGATCCTGCCAGAGGCTTCATTTCACAGTATGATGACTGGCTGTAAACTTCTCCTTATGGGGTATGGGCTGAAAGCTCCAACCCTCAAGTTACAAGGTTGCCTGGCAACTAGTCCCCCACTGGAGGCCAC